TTATGGTATGACTGTGTGCTGAACATTTCTAGAAAATCATCCTAAAAGACGGGAACTCTTTTAATCTGCAGATTTATTTTTTACTCTTTCAGTGAAATGACCTTTCTTCATTTTCACAAAATTATCTTCTGTTTAAATGTTTTGAAACATCAATTTCAGGGACATGAATAATCTTTTTGTTATACTGCCTTTGTCTTTCTCATCATTGACTTCACTCCAAATGCTTTAATTTTCCTTTCTCATTCCAACTGATTGTCTCAAGCCTTTCCTCTTTGTTGGTAAAGATTTTCGCTGGTGTCTATTCTGTTTCCTGCTATTTCTAATGAATATTTTTTGTTCTATAATTATCATGCTTTTTTCATTCCCAATCTGTTTCCCTTGATCTAAAATATCCTTTTTCATCTCACTCTATTGTTTCATCATCTCATCTTTGAGTTATTGTTTTACAGAATTTATGTTCTTATTAAATTAGGTACTCTATTTATAAGAAACAATTATTAGACAATTCCCTGGATTCAGTGAGTTGATGTTTTCTTCTTGGTGGCAGCTCTAACCTTAGTGGGGGGAGGGTATTACATTGCAAGGAACTATTGACCACTTCCCCATGCGGAGTGTTGCTCCAAAGCCGTCATTTCTCCAGAGAGGCAATGTTTGTTCACCTTCTTCCATTTCACTAGTTCCTCTTCCAAAATCCTTCCTGCTATTCCTCAGTCACAAGAAACAACAGCAACAATAAAACCAAACAAAACACAACAGAAATGGAAGATACCTCATCAGTTTGGCTCTCTCTAGAGTTGGAGAGAATTTTCAGCAAGTTGCCATCTTGTCAGTAAAATTCTATGGGACTCTCAGGATTCAGGCCCTTATAGGTCTCTCTGTTTCTGATCACGGGTTCCATTTTTTCCTTGACTATTAGTTTCTGAGGTACATTACAGTAGGTCTGCCATTCATTTTCTTTGCTCAGTTATTGTTACTATTGTGTGTATGTGGGGGGAGGGGGCAGTTACTGGCTTATACTATTTTAGGATCACTATATTTTCTATTAGTGGTGAGAAATTATACAGTACATTTTCAAATTTTTTATCTCCAAAATCAAAAGCACCCTTTAAAATTCATAATGTGGGTTTCTTTTAGTCTTCTTACTTAACGGATTATACAATAATCCACCTGTGTCCACAGAAATAAAAAAAAAAATACTCATTCCTGTCCCCATTATGAACAGGCCTATTTATAACTAGCTCTTTGATTGCTACCTATCAAATATTCAAATTGATAAGAGCCTTGTACGTGAAGATAACCCGAGTTAGAGAACAGCAAAACAGCAATTATGGGGAATACCAGAAGTGATTCTTGACATGACAGGAGCATTTCACAGACTTACATTTTCATAATTAGATTCTGCTTTCCAAGCAGACATAAACGACTACTGAGTCTAAAATGTTCCTTTCCCCTTGACAATACACACGCCAAGAGGGAAAAGAGTCTCAAAAGGTGAAGATACACTTTCCATAAAGAAATTCAGGATTTAGTTCTAAATGTTTTTCTTTTATACCCTAAAATAAGAATACAAAGTAAAACTAAAGAAATAAAAAGCAAAAAGGGAAAAAGAAAGCAATAAAGAATGAAGACATAGTGAAAACGTGTCCCTTATTGAGAATGTATTTTACATTAATGCTGTACAAACTCTAGGAAATACTCTCATAATAATGGTTCTATTACTGTCTGGACAGCTCTGCTGTCCAAAGCGTTAAGCAATTTGCCTGGCCACTGAAGAACACCCCAGATCTGCCAGCCACTGCTGGGTGACCTGAGTCAATATTTGCACGTGCTTCAGTTTCTGCTGTAATTATCCCTTATATTGGCCATACGAGCCATGAAAGTACAGGCTGGCAAAATATGTCACTCATACTGAACTCCAAGATTCACTATTATAACGTCTTTTAAACTAAAAAGACATTAGCAGACTATATATGAAGAACATAGTTCTACCTAAGATGTCTAGCCTGGGTGGGTCAATATTAGGGAAAAAAAATGGAACTATATAAAACACAACTCAATAGCCTATAAAGATCTCTGGAGAAAAATCTTCTCTATTAATGCATAGTATTCAATATAACTAGAATAACAAATGGGAACTCTAAAACAGTGGCTAACAACAAAACTTTCAGAACAATTAGTCACAAGAAATCTTTAGTTGGGATTTCACTGTTCAACTGCATATTTTACAACTTGTTTGCCTTGGATTCTATGTAATGCACTAAGACATCTCATAGAGCACACACCTGCACGCACACACTAGCTGCTCTGACTTATAGTCACAATTTGCACAAGGAAGCAATTTAATTCTTATCAGACCAGAAAAAACACACAGCTGATTTACTGATAACTAAAGACAACTTTCTACCAAAACAAAAAATAATTCCCCAATGTGACAAATAAGCTAACTCATCTGTCTTGATCAGAGAGACAGAGCCAAGGACTGAAGAGCCAGGAGCCCAGGTCCACTCACTAGAAACAGTAATAATAATAGAGTACAAACTTTAATAATAGGAGGTCACATTTCAACCTCCCATGAATGCCATGAGGTAATCAGGAGGACATCATTCTTCCTCAAGTTACAGGTGAGTAAAGCAGTCCCACCATGGGCTAGCAGCAGAGCTCTCAGAACACGGAGCTTTTGGCCCCTAGAACAGTGCTCTCGCCAGCACTCTGCACTGTCACCATAGCTCTTTTCTCTCTTTCAGACCCAAAGACTCCATCTGTTTCTAAGCCCATCCATCACATCCATGCCACTGATCCAAAAGGGAGTTGAACAAGATTTGTAACTAAACTAAGATAAACAGCCCTAATCCAGAGATTAATTTAAAGGACCCCTCCCCTCCTCGCATCAGTGACTCAAAGTTTGCTGCACATTAGGATTGCTTGGAAGAGTTTATCCCAATACTCAAGCTGTTTCCTATACAATTACATCAGAAACACTGGGGATGGAACCCAGGCATCAGCATTTTGTAAAGTACTGCTGGTGACCCCAAGTGTCAGAGCCAAGTTCCTCAGGGGAAGCATACAATAAAGACTGGGGAGATTAAATTTAAGGACATATTATATTAAACAAAATTAAACACTGCACAGCATGATAGGAAATATGCAAATGGTTTATGTTTCAAATTTTAAAAATAAATAGAAAGTGGAATTTCCTTCTTTATACCAGACAGACTTGGGAGTTTTTATCAATCTACATCACTTTTCCTTTCATTGCTGGTGTTTCAATGTTGCTTCCTGCAGAACTGTCAGCAGCATGGACTGCCCCAAGCACTGCCCTGCTTGGAATAGTGTTGCTTTGCATAAAAATCATGAAATGTTGGAAAGATGACTCTCAACTGAAGTCAGGGAAAGTTAGGTAAAATTATCAGACACTGAGAAACAGTGAAGCTTGTAAACACCTGTAGTGAGAATCAATGTCAGGAGACAATTGCAGCTTCGTTTCGTTTCTATCCTCTGGAAAAAATATCAAACTTGCAGCCCAGAGATGAGGACTAAAAGGATAAAGTGCAATACTAAAAGCTATCTGAAATGGTTATTTCGAAAGAGTCGGTCCATATTTAAAAAGTAAAATGCTAAGAAGTTAAACAACCAGTTCCATTAAAGACACATCAGCTGACCCCTCCCCACGCTCTTGTCAAATTCACAACCAGGAAGATAATAAACAGCTGGATTGCTGGTACAATTGCTTTGGGTAAACAGACACTATCAATTAATAGAATTCCTGTCACTTACGTGTCAACATACCAAATCGTACAAAACGGATTATTTTATTCCAATTCCATGAAAAGACTGGGTCAACAGGAGAATCTTGAAATCCCCATCATTAACCGAGTTTGAAAGAAAACTCGCTTCCAACACAGATCCGTGGAGGGTAGGGTGTTCCACGGGGAAACAGACACCCTGCCCACCTGTGGAATATTTCTTGCCCATCTAGCTCTTCCAAGTAAACACTGTCTGATGTTGCATTTTTATCGTGGAAGTCTGAATGGTGAGCTATGATTCTGATTAAGCCCACATCGGAACTTAGGGGCTGTGAGGGGGAACTTTAAGTCCATTTAGATGGACGCATTCAGAAGAGGACCAAAACAAACCCCAGTCTTTATGAGCTAGCTGGAGGAAGTACACGTGAAAAGCACCAGTGACAAATACGTGATATTGCCTGGAGAGTCTACTCTTTGAACAGACAGACCCTGGTAAAGCTGACAAGCTTTCTCTCTCATCAGGACACCTCCTTAAAGGCACCGGCACAGACACAGACAGAGAAAGTAGACATTGGGAGCTGTTACTGTTCTTTAAAACATTGCACCTGCATATAACACCTCTGCTGTGTGCTATGCCATTGCATCTGACTGACGGTGCTAGCTAGACTTTCCACCTGGCTTGGAAGAAAACGAAAATAACCATCTGCTAATAATAATTCTATTTCATTCTAAATAGTTTCATTTCAGGCTGATGAGAAAAAAAGGCACATTAAAACTACCTTCACAACTCCGGAGCACGCACATTTCAGAAGGTAGGTCTATAAATAAATGTGCTTCTGTACTGCACACTGTAAACACAAAACCGTCAGGCAAGCGAGGGCTGCAATTTAAACTGGAGCCCCGGTATGAACTTACCTGGTTTTTAAAGTCCCATGAGAATATGCTTCCCATCAGTACTGAGCTCCTTTTCCTAGTTACACAGTCAGGCAAACACCCCCAACTACATCTGACTTTATCTCAGCCCCATCCTTGCTCAGAAGCTTGCGATTTCATTCAGAAGCAGCCGGCCCTCAGCAGACTGAATATGCACAGAAACAGCAATGAAAGGGATCGAAGATAAACCCCACCGTCGCACCAAGGAAACAGCAGCGCGAGCACCAAAAAGCAGCTAAGAGAGAGGGGTTTTTCTTCGCTGCGCTCCCCCAAGCCAGCCCCCTTTCCTGGGTACAACGTCTCAGAGAGGAGAGGGGCTCTTACCTGAGCTGAGCATACTGTGCATTCTCTGCTGAGCCAAGAGCTGCTCGCGTCCAGCCACCCCATCTGAGGAAAAACACGAGTCACTCTCGTAAATTGTCTGCAGCATATTGCAATCACTCTGACTTCAGCTCCATGAAAGATTCATCTCTGCTCTGTGCAGGGGCCCCGGAGCTACCCTCCCTGGGCTACCCTCCCTCCTCCCCAAGGAGAAACAGCAGAGGATCGACTCCCACTACGGTTTCCTTTCTGTTCAGATGGACACACACTTTTTCCAAAGACCTGGACACTTTTCCCATGTTACCAACCTGTGTGCAGAGCAGAAAGGATCGGGTGGATGCTCTGGCTCTCTGGAGTTCAGGTTACCCTGAACACTAAAAAGCAGGTGGGAGATGGGAATGTGCTTCGGGGATATTGCTTTGTCAGAATAAGTAGAAAAATATTAACTCTACCCACGAGAAAGAGAAACCAAGGAAACCTGGCTGAAAGTTCTTCAGGCTGCTAGAGTTTCCTTGCAAGAAGCGGCAGTCCTAGGAGTGGCTTCAGCTGGTGCCCTTCTCTGTTTGTGTGTGTATCTTCCTCCCTCTCTGGTCTCTCTCAGCTCAAGTTGGCTAAACCCAGTGATAATCCATTTGCATATGAATCAACAACAGCATGGCCCGCAGGCACAGAAATAGAACAATGGTCGGCCTGAGCCAAAAATAGGTCAAGCCTGGCCGAGTGATTGGAGCCTGCATTAATGCATTTAAAAATACCCCAGCAAACCCAGCTGTCCAGCCTCTATCTTTCAAACCATAATTCTCTATTGCAGGGCCTGAGGAGCAATTAACTCTTTCCTCCCTCCCAGCTTGCTTTCCACACTGTTTCCACACTGGCGATTTGCATCCAAAGAAAGGAAGGCAAGAAAAAAAAATTAAGAAACATAATTCTAAGAGGGCAAATGCACATATATTTCATTTCGTTTTATTTTTGTAGTATGTGTTTTTGGAAAAGAGAGGAGAGAAGTGCAGAGCTCTGTATTGGTTCTAAAATAATACTGGAAGCTTTTGCTCATAATGTGGTTTCTGCCTCACCCACGCACAGCAATCCTGGCGTTCTATTTTTGTTGCCTGTTTCTTTGGCTACACTGCAGTTGGCTGTGGCACTAGAAGCTTTTCTGCCTTCTAGTTTCAAGACTGACAGGAGATTTAGTAGAGGTAGTTTCGGAAAACAAGCACACTCCAGAATAAAATATTTAGGAAGGATGGCTTGATTTTTTTTTTACTTGCTATTTATGTAAGGCAATTGTCCATTTCACAAATCTAGATATGATGGTGGTACCCAATATCAATTTTATCGCATCCAGCCTCTATGATATTTACACTTAAAAGAATAGCTTAGACCTGAAAATATTTCATCTCTTTCAGCCTCTCAGGCTAAACTCAATTTACTTGTAAAAGGAGAAGCAGGTGTGGGTGTTTTCTTATAGATGGATGCAAAATTAGTAAAGTATGCACCATCAATAAATAAATATACTGAGTCCCCAGCTGTTCATCTCTACATTGGTTACCTGAAAAACAGACCTCACTTTTCTAAAACAAATAGCATTTATAAAAGTTGATAGATTCCCAAACCAACACACATTGGGGAACTCATCTATAAAGTAAATATATTACAGTATGTGATCCTAAGAATTCTATAGTCTATGGTATGCACTTACAATATCATTTGTACATCACAGATTGGGTTGCAAGCATCTAGCCACTCCAAGGGCAAATGCAAAAGTGACAACCCACTGATCATGGTAGCCTTTCTCCCTTTTCTAAATTAGATGAGCAAGGAAAGTGTAATTCCCAAGGCAGTAGTAGCAACAGAGAAGGAAAGAGAAAAGGCAGAATGTTTCAAGGTTCCCAGAGCAATCCCATGGAGGAGGGACCTCCCTCAAGGAAAGAGTGTGGGGCAGAGGAAAGAGAACAAGGGGACACAGAGTTGGGGTGGAAGGGAGGGAACTTGTAAGTCATTAGGCAGGTAACCCACTGCTGAAGAAAATGGCACTGAATTTTCCTTCTTTCATAGATTGACTCCTACTTCTTGCAAAATTATATTTGGACAGATAAATTACAAGATTTAAAAAAAGAACTTATTCCAAACGGCATTTACTTAAGCTAAACAAGAGAATCTTATGTTCCTGTCAGTGGAAAAAAAAAACCTTTTAATTCCATCTGGTATTACAAGTGAACTTTCACTCAATTAAGGGATTGGTATATAAGATTCAAGGGATGGAAATATTGTGGATCTGGCAACTTACTTGGAGATGATGTAACCAACCATAGCATTTTAGACCTTGGACATTTAGAGACTGTCTACAATGGTCTTCAAGCTCTTGGTACCCAGGATGCTGAGGAACCTGGGAGTTGACGCACACTCCATGCAGAAAAGGTTCTTCTTCCCACCAGGGTGGCCTCACTTTTATGAGTCTACATTTAAATATGTAAGATTTATTTTGAACAATGACTTGTTATATTAAAAAAATAACTGAAAACCATTCATCTAATACAAAGGAGCTCCCTATTTTATCCATGAAGAAAGTAAAAAGACTTGGGGAAGGCTGTAAAAGCACTCATTGCTGTTATTATGACTACAGAGTCTTGCTTCGTCTCTACTAGCTCATCTCTAAGTAGGTGTAGTCTTCATGTTCTCTCGGTTGCCAACTTGTCCCTTATTAAAATGATGCAAACAAGTATCTGAGATATTCAGAATAAATGTTAATAGTACCTACTGATGAAAAATGGAACCACTGTCTCATTGTGTCAGAGTGCTTATGAAGAGAATATGCAAAACTAGTGATTAACATCTAATCGATAACAAAAATCCCAGTATTGCTATAATATACTCATATATCTTTCATCCTTTTGAGTTTAAATTATACCCTCAAACAACAAAACTCTCCAAGCTTTTATAATCATAAAAAATAAAACTCCAAAGAGTGAGTTAGTAATTATCCTATTTCTCAGCAGTTCCAAGAAAGGTCACTCCACATAAAATAGTATGAATAATGTGCTTTCTTCATTTTGACCAAGTTATTTAACTTGAGGTCTATTACATTTCATCCCTGCATTATTTCAGCTTTATTTTTCTATCAGCAGTCTTATCTTTCAACTCTTGATAATAAAAACTCAGTGTAGAGTGAAAAGACTTTGGACAATTACCATAAAATAGATACTACTTGTTTCTGAATGGAAAAATAAGCATCATTAAAACAACCACCAAGTACACTGATTACCGTAGTTTCATTATCCAGGAACTTAAGTATTTAGAATTTTGAGTTAATTTTTCTCATATCATCTCAACAATGGTAGTAAAGAAATATGATTAGATTTCTTTAAGGGCATTTACAAAACTAATTTACTGACTTGAAAAAAAAGGATATTAAATGCTATATTATAAAAACCATAAAAACTAATTCACATGTCAAGCTAGAATAGATAGGCGTTCCCTCAATTATATTTTAATATAATAAATTTTAATTTAATTTAATATTTTGGAAATTATTCTAAATATTATATTTTACATTTCTTCAAATGAAAATAATAGGGGGGGACATGGTTCCCAGTTTAATAGAAAATGGAAAGGGGAATCCAATCCTAATGCAAAATGTGATTTAAAATTGATAATGGCCTTGGTTGGTGTGGCTCAGTTGGTTGGGCTTAGTCCTGTGCACTGAAAGGTTGCTGGTTGGACTCTAGGTCAGGGCACAGGCCCGGTTTGGGGCTGGATCCCCAGGAGGCATGTGCAGGAGACAGCTGATAGATGTTTTGCTCTCACCTTGATGTCTCTTTCTCCATCTCCCTCTCCCTTCCTCTCTCTCTCTAAAAATCAAGAAAAAAAATCTTTTAAAAACAGTTACTATGGTCCTAGTCAGTTTGGCTCAATAGACAGAGAGTTGGCCCAGGGACTCAAGGGTGTTAGTCTTGACTCCAGTCAAGGGCACGTACCTAAGTTGCAGGGGATCCTATTAAGAGACTAGTGACCTCGAGCAGGACACTAATATAATATTCAACATCTAATATTTCATTGATTTTCATTTTAGCATATCTTATTAAAAACTCAATAATTAACTTTACTTCTTGCATTTACTTTTCTTGCCTTGTCACTATTTCACAGGATAGAATAACCAATGAAAAAGGTCAGGCAACAGACTGTATCAGAAATTGTCTTACATGGTATCATTTGAGTAAAAAAAGTTATCAAATATTTTTGAGTGAACAGAGTTTCAAATATTTTTCTTGTGAAGTATCTTAAAGATGTTGGCACTAATAAATCAACATAATAATGCATTTGTTTAGGTCTAATAACTGCAGTGATGGCTGAGCTTTTAGAAAAGTCTGGCTATCAATTGCATTGCCTAGTACCAGAGGTTCTATTTTTTAATTGGCAAATTCCATTGATTATACTATTCTGACTCAAAATTCTAAAATATAGCTTCAGACTCAATCTCCTTCCTGACAAAAGTCACTTGAAAAATATATGCATATAAGTTCTTTGGTTAATCTCTCCCCACCCACCCCTGCCTTCCCTCTGATATTCATCAGTCTGTTCCACCCTTCTATGTCTCTGATCTCTTGTGTTCATCAGTTGATTTTGTTCATTAAATTCCACATATGAGTGAGATCATGTGATAATTGTCTTTCTCTGACTGGCTTATTTTGCTTAGTATACTTTCCAGCCACCTCCTTACTGTTTCAAAGGGTAAAAGATCCTTATTTTTTACAGCTTCATGGTATTCCATGGTATAAATGTACCATAGCTTTTTATACACTCATCTACTGATGGGCACTTGGGCTATTTCCAGATCTTAGCTACTGAAAATTGCACTGCTATGAACATAGGGGTGCATATATTCTTTCTGATGGTTTCAGGTTTCTTAGGATATATTACTAGAAGTGGGATCACTGGGTCAAATGGCAGTTCCATATTTAATTTTTTGAGGAAACTCCATACTGTCCATACTGTTTTCCATTATGGCTGTACCAATCTGCATTCCCACCAGCATTGATTCTGAAATAGCAACCAACCTTGACTAACCA